CGAGGACTTCCTGGCTATATCGGGAAAAACAGCCTCTTTAAGGGTTACCCCTCCCTCTACTCATCCACCCCACCACTTAACACTGACAAAAACAAATCACATGAGAGCTTAAATCAAAATAAAACAACAAATAAAGTGAATAAAGACAAAATAACAGAAAACCATGGCTGATAAAGACTGCCAGAGAAATGCAAAAATAGTACAGATAAATGTCGAAGGCCTAACTAGAGCCAAAAATGAGATAATGGGAGAAATGTTTAAAGAGGCAGATGTACTGTCACTACAAGAAACCAACATACCAGAGGGAGAAACGAAACGGCTGATAATACCTGGCTATAATATAATTGACTACATAGATCACAATAAACACGGCATCGCTACATATGTGAACCAACAAATAAATCAGCAGCTTGTGAAAAAAATACAGGAAAATGAGCACACGATAGGAGTTCAATTAGGAGAAGTCATGATCTTTATTATCTATAAACCTTCCTCAAGTAATTGGAATAACTCGTGCTTCCAAGCTGTCAACACCAGGGGGTATACATAGACAACTCATACAGCACTGAATGGGAGTACAACACGGAAGACGAAGACGGCTTGCCAACTGGTCAAATCTTAACTACATGCACCTGCTATATGATGCCAAACAGGGAGGCACTTTTGAATCAGGCAGGTGGAGAATAACAACTACCTCAGACCTGTGTTTTGTCACGAGCGACGAGTCAGGCCAACCCCAACAAGCCAAACGCACAATACTGAACCAGTTCAGTAAAAGAGTTAGCACCGGTCAGTAATAATAGACATAAGAATACATTTTCCCTGGATCAATAAACCAGAACTGCCAAGGCGGAATCTCCGTAAGGCAAATTGGGACAAATACACTAAGTATATTGAGATAAATATAAATCGTACCAATCAGGTAGCGACAAATTACCAAAGGTTCACCGAAAGAACAAAAAAACGTGAGAGACTACTCAGAGAGTATGAATGTGACAATAATGAGGTTTCGGCCAGTCGACTAATAACCCTCCTTGATGAAGAAAAGAGAAAGAGATGGGTGTCGGCCGTAGAACAACTCGACTTCACATGCTCAAGTAGGAAAATCTGGTTTTTTTAAGGTTTTTTTCCTTATTATTTGGCTTATATAAGATTCTAACATAATCATAATTTAAGTATAATGATTTTGTGATATTATTCTTGTCAATAATATCGGGAAAGAGTCTTAAATATTAGGTCAGCCGTGGGCTAGACGGATTAAACATAGTTTCGTCCGTTGATGTATTTTTCAATTTCATTTTATTCTTTTTATTTATTTAAATTATTACAAAATTAATTAATATCTGAATATTTCAATCCAGCATCTTTTTAAACTCCAATAGTTACATAGGAATAATTACTATGATTTCTATTAAAATGATTTATTAGGATAAAAATGCAAAACATTGTAATTTTAAAGAAAATTTAAGCTTTTTTCAAAAATTTACTGTAAACACTAATTATAAAACTTCTCGACTACATATCTGTCTTAACAAAAATAATAAAAATAAATGCAGTAGGTGTACTTAATTTCTCTGAAAATGAATTCAATATTTATAAATTATGCAAGTTCATTTTTTCTTAAGAATTTTGATTTTATTGTGAGAAAAGTTGTTTGTTGTATTTTTTTTTTTTTTTGATATGCTAATAAGTTTTATAGTAGTGCTTCTCAATCAGATAAAATGTTGGGCATCAATAAATAGACAAGTATTGTGGCACCTGACAGGTTATTTTTATAACAATTGGTTGTATGATAGCATTACGAAACTAAATTAATTAAGCTTTTCTTTTACCCACTATTTCTATTTCTTTTTTTCATGAACATTCATAGAAGAAAACAGGCAGTAAAACAATCATAATAAATAGACTTATACGCATACTAGGGCTACATATAAAATTTCGTAGTACGGATATAAAAGCTGATGCAATTACAATAACAGGAGGGTGTCCTTTATTTTTCTTATCTTTTAGTCGGTCACGAACGGGGATTTTATAATCCTCTCGGGAAATAGCAACGGACTTTATCAAATTTCCAACCAACTACCATACCGTAGCATAAGTAGAAGCATGTCAATCGAAGCATATGGGCGAAGAGAGTAGGTGAGCCGTAATTGCATGCGAACGGGAGAGCAAATAATGCAAGGGTTCGAATAACTTTCCTGGGCTTTTGATTATTGTGTATTAGGTAATATCATTATAGTTGTGCACACATTACACTATGTAGGCAACATAATACTACTGGTGAATTATTCATGATCTATATCCTTAATTATCGTGGATATTGTAGTACACGTTATCACATCACGATTAATGCATTTCTTATGCATCAATATCGTGTATCCTAAGTAAATATTTAATGTTATTATATATCAGGTAATGGATAAATAAAGTTGGGTTTCATGATAAATAAGAGAAGTCTACTTTGATAAAAAAGTTACTTATGTCATGTGTCATTTTTCGTAACTTTCTAATAAAAATAAAAATATTACTACACTTTGTCAAAAATTTGATGAATAAAAGGCTTACATGAGAGAAAATGTCAAGTCTTATGGAAGTCAACTAAAATGAACAGTTCATATATTTGATAGTCATAAAAGAACAATTATTATGAAAATAACTGTCATTTTTCAGCAAAACTAAGATTATGGCATACACGTAACACAAGTGAATAAAGCTATTTTTTTATTTTGTTCAAATATTTTAATCAAAAATATCTTTTGGAAGATATAGATTTAAGGAACGTATTTAGTAATTTCATTACTTTACTCATAAATCACTTTTTTTTGCTTTACATATAAATTGATATAAAATTAATTAACTATTCTTAATTAATTTTAAGATAAATATCTTATTGCAATTTTAAAAATTAAAAATTTTTTATCATAAAGTACTATTAAAATTTAAATATTTTGAGCTAATATTCACATAATTTTAATTTAAACACAATTATATATATTTGTTTTTTTTTATTTTTTGAAAAATTTTAATTTAATACAATATTTAAGACCAAATCAATATGAATTACCATAGATTTTTGATAAAAAATACAAACTTGTCTCAAACATTGATAATTTGTAAAATGAGCGTCGTAAAATAGTGCCAATTAATTTTGGCTTCCAAAACGAAGTGGTAATCTTTATTAGAAGTTACTAGTTCTTAATTCCAATGAAAAAATAGTATCATATGATCATATGATACATGAAATACCACACTTTAGGAACTGTACAATTTTCTTATTATACCATAATTTAAATTCATTTAAAACAAATTTTCTTCCTTTAAATTTTGCTAAGTAAATTCCAAAAAAGTGTTGTCTAACAAACTTTTGTTTAATAAACTTCTTAGAATAAAATAACAATTATAATATTATATTCACTAAATGTTAGTAATTATAAAATTCATATGTATAAAATATATTAGAGAATGATATAATAAAAATATGATGTCAAACAAACAATTTATATGTATTTTTTAATTTTAGAGATCATACTTCATATTTTAGGTGTGAAGTTTATTAAATTTTATTTGTATGGAAAAAACTTCATACACATTACATTACCTCATATTTAAATATTTTCACTATTGAACAAATATAAATTTAAGTTGAAGAATCTATTTAAATAATAAAAAGAAAACTTAACAAAGTAATTCAATTATTTTGACTTACTGCTTCTTTATTAATCTTTATTTTTAATAATTACCATTACATATATTTAAATATATTTTACTAGCGAAGCTTAGAAAGTATTAGTTTTACCATGATTTATATTTTTTTTTGTTTGTCTATGACAGACGTAATATTGATTTTTTAATATTGATCGTAATGAAATTTCAATACATTATAAATGATACAATGATCTTTCTTTTGGAATTCTCTTTGAAAAAATTCAATGAGAAACCTAAAAACGACTAAGCTTTTCTAACCCATTCCAAATGAAAGATTTTAAAATTATAATATGAAAAAATTTATCCCTACGGTTTTTCTACTATGAAAAATCAGTTATCAAATTAAAAGAGTTCACAGCTAAACAATACTCAATTTTCAATAATGCAAAAATTAACATAATCAATATTTGAAAGAAATATTATAATATAGAAATTATAAAATTACATATATACAAATTATTTTGAAACCTAACAGAGTTGCTTGAAGTGCTTGAGGATATATCCATGTTTGCAGTTGAGTTCTGACGTTTCGGACTCATTGCAGAGTCCATCTTCAGAGTGATGGTTGCTAGTCGGTGGCTGCAACTATACTGAAACGTCAGAACTCAACTGCAAACATGGATATATCCTCAAGCACTTCAAGCAACAAGACAATCCATGAAAACTTTAACACATTCATAACCTAACAGATTATTATCGAAGTGTTTTTTATGATAATAATGTTAAACACACTTGTTATAATTTAACACACTTTATTAGTAATAACGTTAATGTTCTTAGTAAGATAATAAGTTATTATTCTACCAAGACCCTTTAATTTGTCAATATACATCGGCCAATTGTTTATGTGTCAAACGATTATAGAATTTTTAGGAAATTTTATATTTATTCACTCGTGTAAAGTAGGGTCTTTTAGTTGGAGTTTACAATTTCCCCAGTAAACTAAAAATAATAGGCTTTTTATGGTATGTTTTTTTTCTTTTTAAGATAATACGAGCAATTGTAAAAACATTTAGCATAATGTGGATCGTTTGTCAGAGTTATTATAAATTGGGGCCATAAAAAATTCTGTTTTCCAGAGTGTAGTCGAGAAAAAATTATTTAACATCATGAAGGTCGCCGGTAGAAACGTTATCTACTTTTCCGGCAGTCCTTTGACAAATGAGATACACTTCGAATCTTTTCTCGTTCATTTTTACAGGCTTAACCTAACCTATTCTATAGCAGTCTACAAATACCGCCACGCGTAGGTACACTTTGATATATCACTGTTTTACTGTATTTACTTTACTCACTTTGTTTCTCTAAAATTTCAGCGGTTTCTTCACCTTCGTCATCACTTTCATATCCATCGTCATCCTCATCAATATCTTCGTCGGATTCGACGTATTCTTCATTGGTTTTAAGTGTTGGTATCAACTGAATCGATTTGGGAGATTGAATACTACTGCTATCGTAAACTTCCTGCAATCGATGATGTCGTGATTTCTAAAATTATAAAACAGTTTTTATAAACACATTTAATTTTTAATATAGTGATTTTAATGTAGAGAATACATTTAAATTAAAAATAACTGTTAAATAATTAAACCAAACATATTTTACTGCAATAATATTCATTTTCAAAAGTCATCACAACTATAATAGTATAGAAATAAAAATTTTTATTATGGTGCAAGTTGAAATGAACCATAAAATAATTTAGTTCCTTCTTTTGATTCCGCATGAACAATTTTTGTCTCAATTTTGTTATTTTTAAATTATAAAATTGATTTTTTAACTATTTTTTATATTATACTCAACAAAACTGAAGTTTTTTCTTATTTCTCATTTTGCCATCCTCTTAAGTCCAATTAAAAAAAATCTACTAGATTTAAAAAAAAAATATGTATAAGGTAGCACAAAAAAATTATTAAGATAGAATTAAGAGTTTTCTATTTTACTTGACAATGGTGTTATTGACTTTTGAAATACATTTGATTTTCCCTAAAAGAATTTCCGTTAATATTTGTTATCAATATATAAGCGTAAGAAACATTAAGGTTAAATTAAAAATTTTCTTTAATAGTCATTTAAGTAGTTAAACGGAAAATTTATTTTGTAGGACTAATTGAAAATAATTTATAATTACATGTAAAATAAATGATCACAGACATTTCATTTTTGTTTAACAAAAGCAAACAATTTTTATAAAATTTAATTCACTTTTTTTGAATATTGTAACAAAATTTCTTTCTATAATTTTATAAATAACTTGTAAACAATATTTTTTCTGTACCTCTTTTTTGTGAAAATCAGCTGTACTTGAATTCACTAAAAAAGAATCTATAATGAATTTACAACTAAAACTCACAAGATGCATTCAATCAACGTCCCAAAAGTTTATATAATTATTTTTAATTCGATTAAAATTGTTAACTCCCATTTATGAAAAGCGTACAGAAACTTTTCTGAACAATTTTTGTATTCACTACCGTGATGCAAGCAGACCGTTTTGATTCGATAACATTCAATTGCTTTTATTGCAATTTAATTACATTTGTGTGACAATATTATTTGAAACACCCTCGTCGATAACTAAAATTATTTACATAATTAAGGGAAAGAACTCAATTAAAACTTTTTAGTGTAATCTTATTATAATATTAAAAATGTCAATACTAAATTTATGTAACTACTATTTTTAATTAAATTAACGCAATAAATAAAAACAATGCATCTTCATGTGAGTAAGCTCTTTTTGTTGAAGGTATTATGAAAAAAAAAGTTTCTACCTATTTCGGACCCCAGAGACGGACAAATGATTCATTGACTAGAAGTGAATTCCGCTAAACGGATATCCGGTCATCAACTACATGTTCACTGTATGGGCGACTCATAAATTGTGCTCTATGCGTGCAAGTTATAATTTTACCTGACCCAAACTTGTGAAGTATTGGTTAGAACTCGTGTATGTTAAATTTTCATCCCTTTTAAAATGATCAAAAACTATGTTGGAGAGATGGGACAGATAATATCCAAACTTATCGAGGAAAAACTATTTTATAGGCAACGACACTAAAACGATCTGAATTCCATCCTCGGACTAACGTTGCAGCAGTTTTAAAACTTTTCTTTAATCCCTTGACGGGCTAACGAGGAAATCACAGGAAGCGTTGATGGTACCCGACTGGAAACGTGATCAAAGATAACGAAGATGCACCTCTATTTCTACACGCTTCACCACATTTGGAGTTTTGATATCGCCATCGGATACAGACACCGTTTATTTTTTTTTACGCGAATGCCCTGACCGTTTTTTTCAATCTAAAAAGATATACATTCAAAATATTATATGTTATACAATTCAACCAATCGAAGTTAGGCACAATATAAATAGATAGATCTAAGACTCATAAGAATTCATTCAAAATATAGTTCGTTATGATTTCAAATATTTTAGTCGATCGTTCAGCAGAAACACAATTTTATCTTTGATACGTGAGAAAATATAAGAACAACAAGAAAGTTTAAAATTGTTATCCCAACTCGATGTGTAAAATTAATGCTTTGATAATATTTACAATTGTGTAAGTAACAAAACTTATAGTCTATATAAATGCTATAGTTTTAATGTGCAAAAGGCGGACTTGTGATCTTAACTACCACAGATATCGTGTATGGCATTATTATGTATATTATTTACAATTTATTATTACTATTTCGATTGTATCGCATAGTTTGTTGACTTAATGTTACTCTTGTAAAGTTTATTCGTTTTGTTTACTTATTAGTGAGCAAAGGAAAAAGCACCTGAGGGTAACGCTTTGGTTACATGATGGTAGCTTAATTTAATTCAACGAATAAAACACAATAATATAGTACAGCGACGTTTCTCTTTAAAAAACAAAAATCATTCCATCAAATCTTCGATGCGATATTTCGACAAATAATTTATATAGTCCAAAAAATAACAACGTTCTAAATATTATATAAAATTGATAAAGATCACATTATTTCAAACTGTATTAAACTAATGATATTTATCTAAATCTTTTGTACAGTTTTTCTTTCAACTACATCGTCTATAGTTTTGAATAAAAAAAAATATTTTAATAACGATTACAGTGTTAAATTCATCTATATAACTATAATATTTTTTGGATAATTTAATATTCCATAACAAATGTTAAGTGAAAAATATAATTATCATTAATAAAACTTTTGAAGAGTACGTTAATAATTTTAAATATTTCCTCGACAATTTTTTTATTTGGAAAAAATACTGACATTGTGATAAAATACTTCTCTAGGGACGAATATATTCTAATGTCTTCAAATAGATCCAATAACAAATTGCATAAAATATCAAAGTGCGAATTTATGGTTTTACATACCTATAAATCTACAATCAAGACACAACAATAAAAACTTTTTGATATATAGCATCATTTTGAATTGGTTTTTTGTTTAAGCATTATCTATAAATAACATATCAAAATTGTCTATGTAAGCATGAAGTTTTTAGTACTGGGATTCGTATGTGATATTTTATCTATTTCATCACAATTACTAATAATGCTTAAAAAAATATGCGAAAACTGTAATAATATGTAAATGATTATTATTGTGTAAACATATTTAATTATTCAAAGTTATTTTAAAATAATATTGAGCCATTTTAATTACAATAAATATTGTTGTTAATTATTTTTAATACTATTGACATTATATTTGATATAATTTATTGAAAAAAATTGTAATAAAGGTTTCATTTGAAATGTATATCATATTTTCTAAGCACATGCTCACGTTTAATGAGACTAAACAAATGAGAACAATTGAGTTTTAATAGTTTTTATGTGTCAAGTGGAGAGCTAAAACTTTGGTAAGCGCAAATATATTGAAATAATCTCTATAAAACCAAATGAAAAAAATCTTAAAACTCTATTATAGTTGCTAAAGAGATATAAATGATAAGTACGTAATAAGTTTTAGATTTAGGGCTATAAATTAAAGCATAAAATCCTTAACACACTTTATGATTCACTTCAGTTGGTTTGTTTCAGTATTAAAATGAAAAAAAAACAATACTACTAAACCAAAATATATTTATTCCAATGATTCTATGTTACATTCTTTGCCGAATACAATTCTTAAGGCTATAGTAAATATATTTACTTAAAATCAATAACTCATTGATTTTTTTTACATAATCTTTACGTAAAGTGTTTATATACGATGCGCAATCATTTAATAAAAGTTGAATCAATAACGACGAGAAATAATAATTAAATTTAAACCACAGCTGGTGTTCGATAAAAATTTGTGATGAGCTATTAGTTGAAGCGGAAAACTTGGTTAAATAAAATTATTTTCAGTAAAGAGTAGAGCATTTCCGTCTTTTATTTCATAACGTTCGCTCGCTGAGAACTTGTGCACGTTGACTAAATCCGAATGATGAGAAGCGGAAACATTTTGACTATCAATAATTATGGTTGCAATCAATCTTGTCAACAGAGCGAGGGTTATCACATTATGAAACTCTGAACGCTTGTCATGTACCTTAAAAACGTCTTTTACTTGATAAAAGACTAAGGGAAAAAGGAAACGTTGGCAATAATCGTAATCTTATTGATCGTCATTCTCGACAATCAAAATTATAAGTATTTGGAAACTCAGTGTGAGAATATAATTTCACAACATTCTCTAGTCTTCCGTACTAAATTCAACGAATTGGTTTCGAATTTACAACATCAACACCATATATATCAATAGTATTAAGAGGTTACTTAAGCGCTACATCGATTCAATTTTCAACAAACTAACGAGAGTTCTATTATATACCGTCGTAAAATTGTAATTAAATGTTCTGGCTGTATTTGATAGATTTGAAGGATTTAGTTTAATTGTTCTTAATTGAATAATTCAACAATAGAGTCTAATTTATTATATAAATTTACCATAATTGAGCATTATAATTCTTCGTGCTAATTGAAATTTTTCATTGTAGATTTATGTAATAGATATACTCTATAGCAAAACGTAGCTTATTTTTTTATTCAATACCTTAGCTAATACATTTTATTAAGTTGATTTATTTGCAATGTTTTTAGGTCACGCATGTCCTAAGGTATGTTTAAAACATGTAACTTATATAATAATGAGTTTTCTTTTTCCATTTTACAGAGAAGTAAATTATTTGAAACTTTTTTTTTTATAATTTATGTTTGAAAACTCCTTTTTTACATAACAAGAAATAATAAACAAAGTCTTAATGTAATTACTGCTTAATAGCTGTCAACTGGCAGTATAATTATAAAGAGACCCAGAACGTTAAATTTTTATAGTTTTGTTTGATAAAGCGATTGTGTAATATTGAAATAAGTTTTAGTTTCGATGCATTTTAACTTTAAGATCATTATTGAACATTTCAAAGAATTTTTTTTAAGCTCCAAATATATAATATAATATTTATCATGCATTATACAGTTATATGGTAGTATTAA